CGAGACCGCCTTCTGCCACAGATTACCTCCCATCGGCCAGTACGCTCCCACAGGGTGGGTCTCCTCAGGGTGCCGTCGGCCAGACAGTGCCGGCTGGCGACCCCAAGGGGGAGGGCCTTCTCTGTGGGAGCTCCCACCCTCTGGAATGAGCTGCCCCCAGAGATCAGGGTGATCCCTGATCTCCCTTCCGCCGCGCCCTGAAGACATGGCTATTCCAACAAGCGGGACTGGCCTAGGGCAATTTTTAGAGGGGTCCCGTCGGGAGAAGGGCGGCATATAAATTGAATTAAATAAATAAATAAATAAATAAATAAATAAATATTTTAACTAGACAACATTTAAATATTTCTTTTTAACTAATTTTAATTTTGTAATTGTTATTGGTGTATTTTTAACTGATTGTCAGCCGCCCTGAGTCCGCAAGGAGAAGGGCGGGATATAAATTCAATAAATAATAATAATAATAATAATAATAATGCTAATGCTAAGTGCTAATACAATAAGTAATATAAAATGGTTATGTCCACAGACTTTCAAGTTTGACCTATAATTTATTCTTTGCCAATAATCCTTGTTTGGTTGCTAAGGGGGGATATTTATATGCTTTTATATACGTTGGCTTCATTGCCTTAGTAAGAGTTTTCTTTTAAATATGTGTGGTTTCATTATTAAATTATATTTTTCCCTTCAGATTTACTTAATTAACATCATAGAAAGATATTTTGAGTTGGATAAGGGACAAATAGAAAGATTTTTCTTCTTTGGTGCTCTGAACTTTCAATAAATTTCAGATCAAACTTCTGCTTCTTTAATGTTTGTTTTTTAAAGAGATTCCTTGAGGAAATAAATTTGGAGGAAAAATGTCAATTAGAAATGGAAATGTTTGAAACATTAAGAAAAGCACAACGTTTAATATATGTATAGTCAGTTACTTTTATGATTAACACTGTAAATATCAAAAGTGCAGTTTAAGTTCAAAACATGCACATTGGGATACTTAATGTTCTAAAGTCAAATTACAATTATATTTACATATTATATATTTCTTAGTAAAAGACCAATATTTCAATGCACTTAAAGGATTGCTTCAAATGTCGGCTTTCCCAGTTGTAATAATAATAATAAAAAAATGGTTCTTTTGGGCTTAACTTGTTAGATTTCCTGTTAGTGTATTTCTAACTTATGTTTTGATAAACATAGATGATCTTGACCAAACTCAATTGTAATATTGGCCATTGTTTTCTTTAAAAAGCACTGTTGAAATCACTAATTTTCTTCTAAAAACAGGATATAACTGTATTCAGCTGATGGCTGTGATGGAACATGCTTACTATGCAAGTTTTGGTTACCAGATCACAAGTTTTTTTGCAGCATCAAGGTATGCTTTATTATTTTTATTATTTTTTCCTCTTCATAGGAAGTAATCTATCAGAAAGACTTAAACCAATGAAAAAGACAAAATTGACTAACTTAATCAGGGAATATTATATGATAGACTGTGCTTATAACTTCAGCAGTTGTAGCCACCAATGAACTTGTAGCCCAAAATGGAACAATATTTCAATGATTTGTCATCCTTACATATTACAGATAATAGGAATATGGTCCGATATTGATTCATTTGTATCAAACAGCTTGATAAAAGGCATCTTCTGCAGTTTTAATTTTTTCTTATAAAGTCATTTGATTAATAAATAAATATTACTGTACACAAGAAAGAAGCCAAGGAAAGTAGTAGTAAACTGAAAGTATTTTAAAGGCTTGAGTTTTTCAATCCTATACCTCAAGAATTGCCCATTTCAGTTGAAAGAATGTATATTCTCCACTCCCACATTTCAAAATCTCTGTGGATGATAGCAGTGTCCAAATAAAACCTCAAAGTTGAGAACGAGGCAGTCTGAGGGAATGTATATTGAATAACTAAATTATTTTAAATAAAAGAATATTTTTATTATTCTATTTTGTTATGTTTCCTTTGTTGGGACCAGGGTCAAGATAATATACAATAAAGCAATAGATTTTATTTTTAATTCATTATCCATATAAATTTCTTCAAAGATATGGAATAATTTGTTTCTCTACTCTGTCAGAAGTCTTGTTCTTTTCAGAAATGAAAGATAAATAGGGGGAACCTGCACAAAATACATTTGGTTTTAGATTGATTGAACAAAGCCACTGTAATTTGAAAAAAAATCCTATATAATGCAGATTAATTTATAACTATAATTAATTCTAATAATGTTATAAACTAAATCTATTTTAGATTTAGAAATATTAAAGAGTTTTAAAATAAATATTCAAGTTTAAAGCCTTTCAGATTAGGTAAAAGCAGGTAAAATTGGGTAAAATTACATTGCTAATTGCTTGAGCATTATCGTAGATAATACTCAAATACTATTTGAAATCTAATGGCTGCCAACTCTGCATTTATGATCAAGAGTTCTACCACAAGACACTGTATTTGAGATTAGAACAAACTATCTTTGTCGCTACAGCTTGTCCTTCCAACTTTTTTTTATCACTGCAATTCCATTTCTAGATACATTCAACATACACTGCATATGCTGCTGAAATTAAAGCTGCTAAAAATGTACTCTTCTAAAAGTCAGTTTGAATGTGAACTAAGTTATAATTTCCTTTTGAAATGACTGAAAAGTGATGCAAATTAAAATTTCACTCTTTTATTTCTACGGTACTTTTACTTGGGAAGTGCTTATAGTCTATATCTCGTATGTTCTTCACAGCATTCATATGAGAGAGATTGAACTTACTTTTTTCCTATGACTTCAGAAAGTATCTAATGATTTGCTTAAGGCCTCCCAGTGAGTTATTTTTTCACCTTTTTTCTTTCACTCTGGGAATCAAATCACTATACCAGCATATAAACAAAGAAAATGTAAATTTTATTGAGTTAGTATTCTGTATAGGTTAAACTGTTGTTTGTTTAGCCTAGGATTATATCACATAATTGATGTGCCTTTTATAATCATCTCAGTCTTATCACTTGATTTTCCTAAGCTTAAATATATAAAATATCTTCTATGCCTCCCTAATGTGCTGTCATTAAATAACAGTTACAGTTCTAGTGAATCGCAATAATAGTAATCATGCTGAATTAAAAATCAAAGTTATAAAGAATTAATTCTAAATGTTTATGCATTTTAGTCGATACGGCCCTCCAGATGACTTGAAGGAACTGATTGATGTTGCCCACTCAATGGGAATCACAGTTCTATTAGATGTTGTGCACAGTCATGCATCAAAGAATTCTGAAGATGGCCTGAACAATTTTGATGGTACAGATTCAGCATTTTTCCATTCTGCTGCTAGAGGAACACACGTTCTTTGGGATAGTCGACTTTTCGACTATGCAAAGTAGGTATAAATAATGTGATATGTGCCATTGCATCTAATTAATTTGTATGCCCATAACCTATAGATCATTTGTTTTCATCCAATTATTAACATGTTATCATGGCTCCTTAAGAGCAGCAACATTAAGAGCTTGTGAAAGATGCTGCATGACTTATCCAAGAAAATTTAGTAGTTGGGCATTGGCAAGCAATTTAGACAATTTGATTCACTGATGAATATTTGTTTGATTGTGAAAATTAAAGTATCAAATAAAACTATTTACTTTGCAAAATTCCTCTGGTAATTTGACAAACCAATGGAGCTCATGATAAATAACTTTTTTTTTCAAAAAACTTATCTATATTATTGAATAATATTTATGGAAAATTATTGCAGTCAGCTATCAAATAGAATTTTATATCTCTAACCTGGACAAACAAATATAAATACAAATACAAATGTTTTGTTATTGTTTTAGTTGCCTTTCATAATATTCCACTCCATTTTTCTCCATGTTAGTTTTCTTTCTTTTTTCCTCTGCCCCCCCCTCCCATCAGTTCAGTTACTGCTTCAATTGCCCAGGCAGGTATTTTTCATCTTTGGGTGTGGAAAATCATTGCTATTTTTCTTTTTTCATTTGTAAGTTTATTTCATTTGTAAATAAATAAATACACACACACACACGTGTGTGTGTGTGTGTATCTCTATGTATGTAAAAATAAAGCCACTTTAGTGTAATGGTTTAAGGCACTTGATTAAAAACTGGGAGACCATGATTTCTAGTTGCACTTTAGGCATGAAGTCAACTGGGTGCCTTTGAGCCAGTCACTTATACTCAACCTTAAGATGACAGGTTTGCTGGATAAGTAATATTTTGAACAAATTTAGATACATATTTCTGCTGCTGTGTAAATTATATACTTACATAAGAGAAGTAAAATAAAATAAATAAATGTAACATTACTTTTATCCCATCATTATCAGTAACAGTAATAATAATATATTTGTGAGTTTATATAAAGAAAGAACAGTGTTTCTGGAAATGTAGCATATTAAATTTTCAATATTCCCTCATATCCAAACCCTTAACATAAGGTTTATAATATATGCAAATAAGACATGCTACAGAAGAATAACTTTAATTTATAATAAACATTCTTGATGGGTAGAATTCTTTTCCCCCCTCTTTTTAAGTTTAAATTGGTATGGTATAATAGGAGACTTTAAATCACAGATGCCACTTTAGTTAGAAAATTTTCAAATAACATATAATTTCCCTTGAAGAATTCTGTTTCTTTTATTATCTACATTCAAACACAGCTGTGTGCAAAATCTTTAAAATGTAACTATGCTGGGGGGGGATGAGATTGTAATTACGCTATATACTGGGATATTTATGAAGGATACTAAAAGTAATTGTTAGTTTTCGTACATTTTTATTGGTATACTTTAAAACTCATTAAGTGGTCACTCAAAATATATGAAAGAAAGGACTCTTTTTTTTTAACATCTAGCAAAACCATCTAGACCAATTTTTGAATGAAGGTAAATGTCCCAGGATAAAGTTGCAGTATCCAATCTGAATCAATCATCGGGACAAAAGGTTTATTCTTCCAAGCTTTCAGTTCATGCTGGAGTCTGTCCTCAGAGAACTTGTCTTCTCTCCAGAATAACTGAAGTGGGATGTTCTAAATGTTGTATTTGTGCCTGATTGTGTGTAGCTTTTAGTTGTTTAGTTAGGTTGTTGATGGCTGGCTATGAAGTCATATATTGTTGTTTCCTTGTGCCACTGCATGCTCAACTCCTAAGTACCTAGTAGGCTGTTGGTAAATAGCACTCCTATTGACTGACAAGACACCTGTTTCCCAGGCTTCAGTAATTTTTCTGGCTATCTTGTCCCTGCTTGGCCAACAATCATAGTAGCTGAAAAATTGAATCCATGTTCTTATTCATTGCAGTGTGAGGCTATCAATGAGTTTGGATCTCTCTGTCTAACCTCTCACTTGTGTTCTCACAATCTGGTGGTAACCTCTCTGTTTGTCCTACATAGTCATAGGGGCAATCCATGCAGGAAATCTGATAATTTACATTCAAAGTTTCTCCCACCTCCAAATAATCTTTGTAGTATATGATTTGTCCTCACATGATAGCCTCTGGACAGTGGGTGATGCCCACTTGCAGATCCCGAAGTTGTGTTATACTGCTTCTGAAATGTTCTTAAAATATGACAGGTTGTGCCATATAGTTGGTCTTGTACCTTCTTTCTTCCTTTCTGTGCCCTACATATTGTGCAAGCATCTTGTGGGCACCCATTCTGCCTGAATTATTCATGTAGGAACCTGCTCTCCAGTTGCTTTGTTTGCTCGGTACTACATATGTTCTCACTCTGCTATATGGTATTCTGATGCAACTCTTTTCATGTGACAGTGAGTGGTTACTCTTGAAGCTCAGAATGCATGGAGTGTTGGTAGCCTTGCAATAATGCACCTTGGTTTCTAGGTTTCCATCTTCTTGTCTGTTGATAAACATGTCTAAAAATGGCAATTGTCTAGTTGTTTCTTCCTCCACTGTGAATTGTATATCCAAGAAAGTGAAGGTGTTTTTTATTTGCTGAAAATGTGGTGAGAGAAAAAGAAGGTAAAGTCATTAACTTGTTCATTTTTTAAACTAAAAAACAGGAAAGCAGGAAAGAAAATCCAAGCATCTATTAATTTTATCATCAGAGAGGAATTTCAAATACAAACCAAATACAAAATTGTAGGTCAGGGAATAGAAATGGTAAATATGAGGTTAACACTATTTTAGAGATCACTAAACAACCATTATTTTGTTGTATCATTATTTCAGTTATATTTCCTTATTAAACCTACAAAATATTCATGGGCGGGGAAAAAGCAGTGAGAGTGAGGGCAACTTCAGATTTCCTGCAGGCTTCCCTATTGATTTTCCTTGTGGGAAGTTGGCAGTAATAAGAAATCCTTCCTTCCTTCATTCATTCATTCCTTCATTCCTTCCATCCCTCCCCCTCCCTCCAATTCCTACCACATTGCTATCCCATTTAATTTGCTTGTGAGATATTTGCAGGTAGAAACTGGGCTAATGAGAAAACCAAATTGTAGTTGCAAAGTAAATGGCTACTGCTAAGTGGGGGTGGAAGAGGATGGGGTGGGGGAAGGTATGTAGGAGTACGCAAGAGAGGCTACATGGGTTGGAAAAGGCATGCAAGCAGTGGCACAGGTCAGGAAGCATGTGTGGGGTACACAAGAGTTCCTGCACTGGTTATAGAAGATATACCAGGGACTGGTGTGAATCAGATGATGCATGTGGTACGCAACATGTGCTGCAAGAATTGCAAAAGATATCCTGGTGGTAGTGCAGATTGGGGGAGATGCATGGGAGGCAGCTCAGATAAGGAAGCATGAGGAGTATGACATGGGCCTTGAAGGGTGCATGGGGAGGGTTCCTTCCTTCCCTGTTCCTTTCTTCCCTTCCTTGATCACCAGGGAGCTAAGTGGCTGCTGCTGAATGGGGGAAGAGTGAGGGATTGTGAGGGCTGGGAAATTGTCACAGAATGACTGCAGTAGCAGCCCAGCAACAGCCAATAGCAGTGAAGGAGTCACAACTCCACAACTAGAAGACCTCCAAGGTCCCTTCTAGCTCTATTCTATTCTAAAATTCCCACTGATAATTCCTATTGATGTATGTAAAGTCAAATGATATTGTGAAGAAGAGCCAGATACTCATAATTTCAGCAGTCTAGAGCTTCAGGTGATCTGATCAATTTCAGTTTTATAAAAGAGAACAAGTAAGGGAATAATAATTACATAAAATAAGAGAAATCAGTAACTGGAAATATAAATGGTGTTGGTGGGAGAACTCTATGATCGTGGTCTGAGTTAGCTGGAAGATGAGCAGTTGGCATGATATGTGTAACATCTCACAAAGATTGGTAAAAATGGATTTGGCCAAAATTAGGAGTATTTTAAATTGAATCCTATAAAGCGTGGATGTCCTCTAAAGAGTTGTACATAGTATAACATTGGCTAATGACCTTCATGGCTTCATTGTTTATACTATATATATTAGCGCTCATGGTATCAGCGTCAACAAGATCATTGCTTAGTACAGAAGGCTAAACTATATCACATTTCTTGTTCTGTTCTATGCTTTTTTTTCAACCCTTTTTACAACATTCACTTTCTGAGGTAAAAGAACTTCACTATATCTCCTTTCTTGTCTTTAACATTCTATATTGTAAAATTAGAAATATATACATTCTTTCTTAATTAGATTATGATTGAAATGGTTTGGTTTCTTTGAGGGTTTGTTTTGTTTTATTTAGTTTTTCTTGTAGGTCAGCCTACAGTCCACATGGTTTTCAATATTCAGCAGAGATTTGCCGTAGCTTGATTGCTAAGTCAAAGAGAGAGAGAGAGAGAGAGAGAGAGAGAGAGAGAGAGAGAGAGAGAGAGAGAGCATGTGTGTGTGCAAGTATATGTATGTGTGTGTGTATGCATAATTTTATTGCTTTTGAAATAAAAACAAAAAAAGCAAAAGGAACAATACGTAAAAATTATAAAAAACATGAGTGGAATGTTAGAATTACTTCCTAGCATATACTTTGCACAAGTGTAAATAACATGGTAATGGTTCAGTTATTGCACTAACTAAACACATACATTCACAATTGTTAGTGAAGAACCTATAGTCTTGAATGGGAAAGGCAGGTTCTATCAAATTCTTGTTGGAGATTTTGCAGATAAGATCACTTATCAGGATTGATATTATATGCATTATTTCACCTGACTTGTTTCTAGTTTCCAAGTCACTTCCAAATTCATAAACATAACTCTAGCTTCTTAGGGTAGTTCTGTGTTCTACACCCATCCCAGGTAGAATACTATATTTACTCTTCTTTTGAAAATTTATGCTCATCCTCCCGATATTAAGTATTTTTGTAATACAAAATAGGTAAGGAGTGTCCTGGCATTTAAAACCATTTTTCTCAATATTTTAATATTAATTTGTAAATGTCACCATATTTCCTATTGATAAAAATGCTGCTGGAGCTCTTGGGAAAATGTTCAGACTTCTGATACAGTTGTTGTGTGGCATCTTAAAAAAAATGTATTGCCTAATCCCCTGAATCTCTAGAATCCATTATATTATACATAACAAATTTGTCCATATAGACTTTGAATATAGGGTCCAATATTCTGCCTATAGAAATACAATTCTTCATATTCATGGTATAATATTAAAGAACTGAAATTTTAACTGTTGGCTACTGGGAAATCTGTCTGAGTAGTTTGTTCAAGCGTACAACCATGAATTTAAAATAATGTGTTTGTTATTCTTCTGCTACCCATGTACCAATTATGATTTCCAGATCTGTTTTCTAAAAAGAACTGTTATGTTTAAGGAAAGAAGAACTATATTATGCACACATATCAAAAGGAAGAAATAAAAAATATAACAATACTACTGATAGTTCTGGCTTTTCTTATGCATTCTAGAAAAGGATTCAATTTTTATTTTTCAACATATGATTTATTTTCATAGAGATCTTTCTTGGACTCTGTATTTTCTTTATCAAGCCAGGTACTAAAATGGCATACTTCCTGGACTTGGTTTGGTGTCATAAAGTTTGACTTTAAGACAGGGAGTATAGTTTAGGTTTTGCAGAATATATTTTGGTTTCAGTTCAACATATTTTGTTTCGTACAAATGAGAGAGTTCTAATACAACCTTTGGGGGAAAATATGTTCTCCGTAGTTTAGATGTGTTCAATTCACAAGAATATCATCCTTTTTTGTCTTAATTTGTCTTAGTTTTGTCAAAATATACAATATATTTTGTATGTTAAATGTCTATGTATTTACGAATTATATATATTTTCAGCAAACATTAGAAAATATATTTGCTGACTTTTTATTCATGTAATTTCCTGAATTATTTTGAGAAATAAATATTTGAAATAAGTTACCCATAATCTTTTTTAAAATAGTTTTTCCGATATATCATTGTAGTGATAGCAACTTCAGAAATTTGAAAATATTTTGTACTATCCATAGCTTTCAAATCCTCAGATTACTATTTTAAATCTGCATACTTTTTTTAATTTAATCCCAAAAGGTCTGTATCTGAAGAAAGATCTTTGAAGGAAGATCTATGTAGGATGTTGTTTGGAGAGAAATAAATCCATACACATTTATTTTTTTTTGTTCAGTTGTTCAGTAATTTATAGTAAGGTATAACGTGCGTGTGTGTGAATATTTTTAACACCAAAAAGAAAATTATAGAAACACTAGGAGTAGATTAATACTGTACATTAATACTTGGGATATGTTATTTATATTTCAGCTGGGAAGTCCTGAGATTTCTTCTCTCCAATTTAAGATGGTGGATAGAAGAGTATGCCTTTGATGGGTTTCGATTTGATGGTGTATCATCTATGCTATATCACCATCATGGAATTGGTAAGTTTAATTTGTATATCAGTGACCATACCACAATTCAAATAATTAGGAGTTTCAACTGAAAAACCTACAGTAAATCTATAACTTGCACTTATGGCACTTGACACTGTTATTATTTATCATATTAGGTGAAGGCTTTAGTGGAGATTACAATGAATATTTTGGTATGCATGTTGATGAAGATGCGGTGGCCTACCTAATGATGGCAAACTACATGATACATATTTTGCATCCAGAATGTATAACTATAGCAGAGGTAAATCTTAGATTACATTAACAAAATTACTTTGACTTATTTATTTGAATGAATGAATCATTATTCAATTACAGTTATATTTAAGTTTATTAATCCTTAAGCATGGTGCAGGATTTGTTAAAGATTTGTTAAACATTTTACTGGTTTCAGTTGCAGAATTAAATATATGCTCTAAAGTATATTCCTGTGCATGTGTATTCCAAGACAAATGCCACTGAGTTTAGATGTGCATCAACAAGTATTTCGAAGATGCAGCTTAACTATAATATGATCATTAGAATTGTCCCAAAGGTGCGTTTTCAGTTTCTGACAGAGCTGAAGAAGCTTCTTGGATAAGAAGTGAAATGTCTTCAAGGAAAAACAAAGTTATCTTTACCAGTTACCTTTTGAAAAAGCACATTTGGGACCACCATGACCTGGATGACTGAGACTCTCCATAGAGATCTTTAGAATTATAATTCTTTTAAACAATGAACTTTCTCATGACTTTTCTATAATGTATTTATGACTTTGGAAACTCACTATACTGCCAAAGCAGCTGAATTTTTATGCATTTGTCTTTGTAACTACAACCTTTATGAGGATCTTATGTTCCTCCTATTTCAAATTCATTATGACTATTGTTTGATAAGTTTAATTCTTTGTCGATAAATTAGAAAAAATATATTTGCCAGACTTATTTTTAGAAGATATTGCTAGAATTGCTGTTACTATAAGTAAACAGTACTTCTAGAAATCTTTATACATTTTTACCTCTTAATATTTAGCATTTTTAACTCTTTAATATTTGTACTGGTCTTGGTTTTGGAGAAGTAATTACAGTGCATTTTAAACAAAAGTGGTGAAATGAAACAACTATGGGATGTATTAAACTTAAAATTGTTTTATTGATTTTGAGGTTCTTTTCAAACAAAATGAGTCCATCATCCAGGGAGCCATAATAGGGTGATCAGGATTCCTACCTTATACTCTTTTTGCATTTTCTCATATTCTTTTTTGTTAAACAAGATGTTGCTTCAATTTATTCTAGTTAAACTGAAAATTACTTCAATTTTATTTTCTGGTGGGAGCCTCTGTACAAAATGTGGAATTGATCCACTTGCTTGTGGCAGAAATAAATTGAGAGGAAAGAACTATTGATATCATTCTAAATTACAAGAGGCTAGCATGAATTTGATCTTACATGCAATGATAGGGGAGTGAATGCTAAAGAAAATGAACACATATTGTCTAGGGTAGGATTGGTTATAATACTATTCCATAAAGATTTGAATTATAACTTACCGTACATAACTTTTTAAAACTGCTGTGGGTATTTTTAACAAAAGCGATCTGATCCAATTTCCTATACATTGAAAAAAAAAAGATAAGTAACAGTATTGTTAAAATTTCCAAATCTGGAATGGAACTACTCACTGTGGTCAACTCACCCCGGCCAATTCACTGCAGCCAACTCATTGCGGAACAAATTGTTGTAGCCAACTCGCCACGGGACAATTCAATGGCAGTAACTCAAGAGAGAGACAAGTAGAATTGCAACTCACCCCAGCCTCAAGGACTTCTAACTTGAGACAAGGGCTGCTGCAATTAATTTGTCCCTTTCTTGAGTTATCCTGCATTGAATTATGCCAGGGTGAATTGTTCCGGGGTGAATCAACTGTGGCAAGATGCTGGGGAGAGTCGGCTAGGGTGAGTTGTCCTAGACCTTCCAAATCTACTTATCTTATACTAGTATGCAATTAATTATTAGCAAGTACTAATAAATACTGCATAGACATCAAATTGTTGTTTTTCATTAGTATGTATTTCAAGTACATATACGTACCGGCTAATATGCACAGCATTTTGCAGCATGAGAAAAATATGAATAGAAAACAACTTGCTTTCATAATATTTATGCCATAGGAATTGCAGATTAATGAATTGTGATTCTTTAATATTGAATGAGATTGAAAATATTTTCATTATTTATGATTGAATAGTAATTATTCTGGTGGATTTCTCTCCTTATTTTCAGTTCTTATTTTATGATATTTCAGGATGTGTCTGGAATGCCAGCACTTTGTTGTCCAATAATTGAAGGAGGATGTGGATTTGATTACCGGATGGCCATGGCAATTCCTGACAAATGGATTCAGGTGAGAATAGATCCTTCCATGCTTTGCCACATTCTTCACTCATGCTTCTCTTGGTAAAAGTAAATGTAAAGGTTTCCCCTGCCCAATCATATCTTGACTCTAGGAGGCAGTGCTCCTCTCTGTGTCTTAGCAAGGGAGCCAGCATTGTCCAGAGATACTTTCATGGTTATGTGACCAGCAGGACTATATGTTGAGGCACATGGAATAATGTTACCTTCCCAACAAAGTGGTACCTATTTATCTATTATATTTGCATGCTTTCAAACTGCTAGGTTGGTAGGAGCTGGGGCAAGTAATGGGAGCTCATTCCATTCTGTGGTGTTTGGGTCTCGACAGCCCAGCATCTTAACTGTTAGGCCCCATTTTCCCACACATGTAATTAATAATATCAAGTAATTATATTATGACACATGTGAACTGGGTTTCTATAATTTAGGCAAGCAAAATGTTGTCATAATCACTCACTCACTCCTATTCTCTGTTTTAATTTTTTATCAAAGAAAGGACAAAATGCCTCTTATATTTATTTAGCCAAATTTTCTCAGTTTGTGTTTTCAGCATCTAATTAAAACTCCCTCATGTATTGGAATTTCAGCTCCCATCATTCTCAGTCAGTAGTCTGAAAAATAATCTGAAATCTCCAGAAAGTTATGCTTGCATAGGATACTAAGCTTTGTCTCTCCAAAGTTCAATGTAACATATGACTAATTATTCTACAATTATATTTGATTGTTTGGCTTTTATTTTTGTGGTTTTGTGGACAGAATTTTGATAATCCTTACAGCAAGCTTAACTCCTAACAAAATGGAGATTAAAAATGTATCTGTTATGCACATGAAATTGTACAATGATTTTATAATACATTAATTGCATATTTATGAATCTAGTGCCTTAACTATTGCTAAACATGTTTGTACGAAAAGCTTGCCAATGTTGCACTCTAGTGATAAAGACTAAGACCAAATATTTTTAATTTCTTTAAGAACAAAAGCAAAAAAGAAATAATTGAATGTTGGAAAAAAATTTCAGAAGCATTACTATAAATTAATGCATTGCACCTTTGTACAGATCTATGCTTATAAGCTTAACATAATAATTGAAAATATCTTGAGTCAGGCCTATATGTAGGAGTGTAGTAAAACATTAATATATTTCATCCTTGTGAAATATGCAATTATGTATATTTTGAAATATGTATATTATTCTAGAGCACAATTCATTTTTAGGTCTTTAAACACATACTTTTGAAACAAATTTGATCTATTTCCCTGTATACAGAATATTTATTAATGTTGCTTCAAGGTATATTTTTCCTATTATTAGCTAATTTCTTTGTTCATATTCTAAAAGTGTTATCAGATGGCATCAAAGGCATATTGCTAGTACAGATATTCTATTAGTTGTAAAAAGACTCTCTCATTCTTGTGCAATTGTAAATCTATAAACCATAAACCACAGGACAAAAATTTTCATAATGTAATATGTCTTCATTATATCAGCTGATGTTTGGGTTTATTATCAACTAATTCTTGCAGAATAGTGGAAAAAGAAATATTTGTCTTCTCTTTATGTTAGATGCAGCTTAAAGTTTTGGCATTGTTTCTTTTCCAGAATATACACAAACTCTTATTTGTTTATCTGTCCTTTAATTTCTTCAAAATTACATGAGATATACATACTATTGTTTATAAAATAATTTTAAAAGGTAAAAAAGGAAAAAAATAAAAATAATAAAAGTCAGATGTGACATAGGCAAATTGTCATATTACTCTCAATAAATAAATCCTATATGATTCATACAGGATACTGTAAATTAAAGATATATAGTACATGTCAGTACTATGGGATGTTAAAACAGAAAAATATAAAGTTTTGTTTCCTTTAGTAATTAAAACTGAAGATTGGGAAGGTGTGTTTGAGTTTGCTATGTGTCCTTTTCAGTCTTGATTTGTATTTTTAATTAACATATTTCATATTTTAGCAGAATTTATATTCTATGTTTGTCTTCATTTGGATAGAATTTCTTTTTTTACGTTTTGGTTTTAATAGAAAATCTGATTGCTGCTCATTGTATTCAGTGATATGGTTTCTATTTTATAGGATTTTGTGTTTTCTTTAACATACAGAATAACTCCATTCCTAATATCTATTTCCATGTCTTAGTTCACAGTTTATATTTGTAAAAATCATAACTCGCTGATTATTCAATTTCCATCAAAAAATCTGTAATACTCGCTACATTTAACAATTTAACTCCCATTTTGGCACAGAATTTGCTGGCACTATGGTTCCACCCAAGTATATTAAGACAATTCAGCTTTCTCTGTCTAACTAGCCAAGAAACTATCTGTCCCACATTCAAATTCTTTCATCATCTTTGTATTCTTGACTAATTGTGGCTTCCAGTTATTCAAGAATAAGAGAATAACAGAGTTGAAAGGGACCCTGGAGGTCTTCTAGTCCAGGGGTCCCCAACCCCTGGTCTGTGGACCAGTACCGGCCACAGCATGCCAGCAACCAGACCACATAAATAAGCAATGCCCCATCTGCACGTTGCAGCAGCACACAAAACCATGCCCTCTCCGGTCCACAGAAAAACCTCTCTCCATGTAACCAGTCCCTGGTGCCCAAAAGGTTGGGGACCTCTGTTTTAGTCCAACCCCCTGCTCAAGCAGGAAACCCTATATCATTTCAGGGAAATGGTTGTCCAATCCTTCTTAAAAACCTCCAGTGATGGAGCACCCACAATCTCTGGAGGCAAGTCATTCCACTGATTAATTGTTCTAACTGTCAGGAAATTTCTCCTTAGCTCTAGGTTGCTTCTCTCCTTGATTAGTTTCCATCCATTGTTTCTTGTCTTGCCTTCTGGTGCTTTGAAAAATAGGTTGACCCCCTTTTCTTTGTGGCAGCTCCTTAGATAGTGGACACTGCTATCGTGTCACCCTTAGTCCTTCTTTTCATTAAACTAGATATACCCAATTACTGCAACCTTCATACATTTTAGCCTTCAGTCCCCTAATCATCTTTGTTGCTCTTCTCTGCACTCTTTCTAGAATCTCAACGTGTGCGCACGTGTGTGTGTGTGTGTGTGTGTGTGAGAGAGAGAGAGAGAGAGAGAGAAGATCCTTCTGGATCTTAAGGTTGACTATTCCTGGCAGCTTGTTATCACCTGCAAATTTGTGAGGTTCCCCTTCTATCCCCTAGTCTAAATACTTTGGGGTACCCATGTAGATGCAATTCCATTAAGGACTACTAGGGCAGGCCCAGGTAGCATGCATTGCAGTAGGCCACACAGGAGGTGACCAATGCATAAGTGACTTTGCACAGTAAAGTTAAATGCATAATTAGCAATATCTAAAATTCTCTGCCATCATTTTGACACTGTAATATCAGATTACTGTCATGGTTCTGACTTATGAACCCAACCAAACATCTTCAAGGCATTCCAGTCTCTTAATGTAAAACTTTATTGAGTACACCATTTTGGCACATATGAAAGCATTTCTTCTTTCTCATTTCTCTACTTAAGGGGTGCTAGCTTTTGAGGATATTTGCTTGGTTTGGTTCATCAGTTGGAACCATGACATTAAACCAGCTCTGGCAAACCCCAAGCTAATTCCCCTCCCATCCCTGAACAGGTCACATTGCCCAATTAGGAGCAAGTATATTGTTATGAGAAAATGTCGTAACACCTGGTACCTCGTCCTTGAATCTCACAGTCTGCCTTCTTTATCTTTGAGCCAGCATTCCATTTCCCCATCCTCCTCCCAAGTTCATTGGCAAGGTAAGAAGCAATAATAATTGCACCAGCAAAGCAAACTTCAAGCTTAACAATTACTTCATTGTGGTATTTATTGTTATTTTTTAATTTGCACAACTCTTCCTATATTGAATGGAGGCAAATATATGTGTCCTAGAATAATGTTGCAAGATCCAATCTGGGTCAGTCACCAGGACCAGAAGTTTACTCTTCCAAGTTTTCAGACTCATGCTAGAGCCCATCCTCAGGGCACTTCTTTCTAGCAGAGTATGTGTTGTGGGCTATTCTATGTGTCATATTTATATGATGCCTAGTTGTGTGTGGTTTTTTAGTTGTTGATTGGGGTGTTGATGGCTGGCTAAGTCATTGTCTATTATTTCCTTTTGCTGCCAAGCCCTGGCCTCCTGAGTACTGATAAGCTGGTGGTAAATCAGCCCTCCTGTTGATCAGCTCTTCCTTTTATTATTATTATTATAATTATTATTATAATTTAATTTATATACC